GGCCAGGCCTAATAGGCATTTTCTTGATTTAGCGGTCAGAAAATTACTCATGGTTGAATATAGCAGAACAAAAAGAAAATAAATGAGGAAATGAATAAAGTAACTGTGATAATCATATATGGGGAGGTACTGAGGGTATCCAAAATGTTGCCCATTTTACAAGCAACATATTTTTGCAGTAGGAAAATTTGAACACTTCCTAACATTTAATGGTGGTAACATTAAGAGAAGGGTCTAAATACCTTAAAGGTACTAGATCCTGTCTGATCTTAGAAGTTAACCAGGATTAGAAGTTAACCAGGATTAGATCTGTTCGATGGAAAACAGCCAATTAATATCAGGTGCTGCAGACTATATTTTAAAGGAAGGTACTGGCAAAACCATCTCTAAATATTACTTGCCTAATAAACTCCTATGCAATTCATGGGGTCACCATAGGTCAACAAGTAAATTCAAGGCACTTGAACACACCGAGAGAATTAAGAGGCAGATTCTATAAAGTTTGCTCACACCATGGTGATCAACTTGGGTCCCCAAATGATACCCAATGATGGCGAGAGACAGATGATAGTTCTGTGATTTAGCGGTCTGAAATGCAAATCAACTGGTGATACTCCCAGAAAATACAAAAATGGAATGCCAGAGACCTTGCACGTAGTTCTGACTTCTTAATGAGGGAACACACATTAAATTTCAGAATAATTACATCTGTGGTGAATAATGTATGCACCCAAGATTGTGCTACTGAAAGAACTATACCACCTAATTTATTGAATCTTTGATTGGCTGTTAAGGCATGTCAAAAAAGCAATCCACAGCTTTAAACCTCTCAATGTGAATTACATTAATCTGTGGAATATTAATTTACTCAAGACCCTCAAGTAATTTTTCAGAACTAAGGGACTTTAATCTGTGTCTCACACTTTTGAACCACAATACGAAGAATCATATGACAATGAAGAACATAACTTTAATCCATGATATTTACTAGAGCGTTAAGTAATATTGTTTCCTCTGTACTAAGAGCACTCTTGTTGTTATGGGCCTTCAGTTATTGGTTAACCAATTTATGATAGCCTTGTCTTATAGTTTCCTTAGGCCAGTTTATTTAGAGGAGATATGCTGTTATCTTCCTCCAAGGTTCAGAGAATGTGACTTGTTCATGGTCACCAGATAGTTGTCCAATGGGCTGAGGATTCAATTGTGTTCTCCTAGAGTCATAGTCCAGCATTCAATTCACTATAGCACATTTGGCTTTCTCAGGAGTCGTACTATCTCCCTTTTGATTTCTCCCCTTCCTATTAGTTGTTCTGAGTAACAACTATTAAGTCTGAGTAACAGACATTTTTTTAAAAAAAAAACGGTTTAGATTAGTTTCACATCACAAGTTCCACCACAGCTTTCAGGCTATCTCTGTGCATGCTACATTTACTGGCTTTGCATCAAACTACAAAAATCGATGATGAGACTGAAAGGTCCCATATTGTTCCCTGCATATAAAAACAAACAGCAAAACCCATTTTCACCTAGATAATGGGAAAAGCTTCTTTGAAGATAGAGTCTCACTATTCTAAACACATACTTCTCCCAACAGGCATCCCTTGCAACTTACCAGCAAAATAAAGATCTGACCAACTTCACACTCTTTCCTTAACTGCTTATCTTACTGAATTTCATTTCGGCTCTTCAGAATTTAACCTATTGGGGCTTCTATTCTCAAGGGTAATTAATTCCACAAGCCTAGCTGCATGGAGATTGCTTTATGTTACAGCCTAAACAAAGATGCCACTTGGCAAACACTTTCCATGTTCAATCACTCAGTGCCAGAGGTAGTGACATCTGTACACCGACAACAACTTGTAGCTGTACCATGTTATTGTATATTAAGCTTCCACACCAAATTGCCAGAAACAGGTGGAGCTAAAATGGAAATACCGTATTTACTTGAGTCTAATGGACACCTTTTTTGGCTAAATGACTTAGCCAAAATTAGGGTGCGCATTAGAATCTATGGTGCTCAAAATTGGCTTCCTCCCTCTCTTGAGTTGTTGGGCTCTTTGGTACTTCCAAGATGCCCCTTTTCCCTCCTCTTCCTTGCCTGCTTCTGCTGGGAAGTGGCACGTGTTCCATCTCTCCCTCTTTCCCCCCTCACAGCATTTCCCTTTCCTAATGGCAGTGAAGGGGCATCTACATGTAGAAGTAAGCTTGAAGGCTGCTGGTTAACCAAGCCTTTCCCAGACCTTCTCCATTCCTTTCCATTCTCCCATCCCCCATGGTTGAGGAGGGAAAGAGGGAGAAAACTGCATTACCCTTCTGATTTTCCCTTTTCCCTCCTCAAAATAGCCCTCTCAGCTCCTCTCCCTTCCACAGAATGTTAGATGATTTGAAGTGGAAAGGAGGAGAGTGAGAAGCAGGACAGATGCCTGCTGGGTCTTCTCTCTCTTTTCCCCTCCAAGGCAGCTCCTGTCCCTTCAAGAGGTTGGCCGCTGCTCAGATTCAGTAGATCTTGAAGGTGGGAGAAGGAGGAGGAGTTGCTGCCACCTTCCCAAGGACAGGGAAGTGCTTGGCAACATGTTTCCCCAACCTCCTTTTCCACAGACAGAAGTAGCCTTGGAGACAAAGAGCAGATCTGGCTTGGCTCTTCCTTTCTCTCTCTGTCTGTGTCTCTCGAAAAGTCCTTTCCCCCAGAGAAAAACAGTCTTGGAGGTGAGTTGAAGGGAGAGCTGTATATCCCCCCTCCCAAAAAAAAACCCAGCTCTTGTTTGAATCCTAGAGTAGAAAGAGACACAAGGGCTTTTAGGGAGAGAGAGCATAAGATCCTTGTAAAACTACAGTTCCCATGACTCCATATCATGGAGTCAAGTAGTTTAAGGGGTGTCAAGATACATTTCTTATATAAAATAGATGCATCCCAAGGAAGCTAAGGCAGGATAAGCTGTAGAGGTACTTTGAAAAAAAAGGGCTATTGGTTTAACTGGTTTTTTTCCATCACTGGAAACTTGATATTCTATTTTTTTTTAATTTAAAGAAGGAGGTTAAGGATACAGCAGCTGTATCATATATCTTTTTGGTCAAATCACAAAGAATGAACATTTTGTTTCTGTGCATTACATTTGCTAGCAAATACTTTTTTAAGTTTCATGGTATTGAAATTTGAGATAAACATTAGATTTGATGGCGCAATTAGATTCGGTACTTTTATTTAAATACATATTGTACAAGGAACTTTTCCAACTAAAAGGATTCCATCAACTATAAAATAATTTAACCAAACCTAAAATCAAACAGGAAAGACAGCTTGGGATGGTGACTTGGGCATTGGAACAGGGCTGGGAGATAACCCTATTCAGTCATGGAAACCCACCCTATGCAAATCATACTCTTCCAGCCTTAGAGAAAGACATGCATCTTGACTAGAACATCTCATAATAGATTTGCCTAAGCTGAATATGACATGAAGGGACACAGCAACCATCAATCAATCAAGTAATAAAATACTAAAATAGAAAATATGTAAATAAAATATTAAACAATACTGGGCTCTTTAATAGAACACGAACATATAAACAAAATAACATTTTAAAAGAACAATATAAACAAAAATTGGATTAGTAGAACAAATGAAGAAATCCAATGGTAGAAATAATCTGCCTCAAGGTATGACAAAGGAATAATCAGAATCATGTCAGAATACTAGTAAAGAACAAGGCAAGAAGTAGTAAGCTCCATCATGTAGTAAATAATCAATAGACACAAACCACATTTATTCAATGGCATTGCAATGGGGCAAAATATACATATCACCAGCCTCAGTGGGCAAGTAGTTTAACTGGGAAGAACTCAGTCTTTTATATACCTTGTTTCATATTCATTTTGCACTTCCACTTAGCCTTTAAAACAAATTAAAATCCAATGCACTTTGAACAAAATCATAGCAGTACAGAGTTGGAAGTGACCACAAGGACAATCTAATCCAACCTTTTCCATGCTTACTTTCTGTCTTACTTTCACCTACATGTCTACATATATCCTGTCTGTTGCTCTCTGTGTTTGTATTTATAAAAAGAGATATAGAAATACGTATACCATACATCACAAGTTCTCAGGGCTGCATACCAATATTTGCATTTTGAAACTTCAGGTTCTTTCTGTTTGATTTATGAACAAAATGATGACTTTTGGGACATTTTCACTTTCAAAAAATGAAGTAAATGACATCCTACCCATGTCAAGTTGCAATCCCACATATCTATAGAGACCCAAGCAGAGAAATGCTGCTATAGATTGTGTGCATATCAAACCTTCTCCTACAACTTCTCACACGTTAATGCAGAAGTTCTACTCTAATTTACTGTTACTAATAAATCTACTTGACTCAGTCATCAATCAGAATGGAGATTACAGTCAAGTAATCGGAAGAAGATGAAGACCTGGAAGAGCAGCTACAATGGAACTAGATAAGATCCTAAAATGTAAAGATATATTATTGAATACTAAAATTATGTTTGTCTATGTATGGTTGTGAAAGTTAGACAGTGAAAATAGCTGTTAAAAATAAAATCAATTCATTTGAATCGTAGTTCTTAAGAAGTTCTACAGACAGTGTAGACTGGTAAAAAAAAACCAACAAAAAAAATCAAGCCTGATCTCTTCTTCTTAAACTGTGATTGTTGTACTTTGGATATATCATGTGAAGATTTTACTCACTAGAAAACAAAATAATGCTTGCTAAGGTGGGATGCAGTATGAAATGTGGAAGACCTTATCCCAAACTCTATAGGAAGAGACTCTATTAAGGAAGCTATGTCTCTAAATGTGCAGGAGCTGAGAAGTATTGTTGATAACAGGATAACTTCATAATCTCTCATTCATACAGTCATCATAAATAGAAATCAACTTGATGGTAGCTAATGATAACAATACATTTATTGTAACATTAACCATAAACATGTAAGTACAAGTATATACTGTACCTTGTTTTACCTGTAAGGAACACACACCTGACAAAAGGCAATCTTCACATCCAGGGTAGGTTCACCGCAGTAGTATAAGAAATGGCGGCTCATAAATACCTGAAATTCAAGGAACATCGGTATAAGTGATTGCCATTTCAGACTTGGAATTATAATAAGATTAGTGCATGTACAAAAACTGTATATCTCCAAAATGGTGGCTATCGCAACAGGTTATAAAGTCCAGTACTGGAGTATCTTCTAGAGTGAAGCTCTTCTATCAAAGTAGCAATGAAGCAGATCATGAGCATCATCCCAATTATGAACACAAACTTGACTAGATATATATGCTAAGGCTTTTGCATTATCATTAATGGAAAAACTGATATCATTAACATCATAATAAAAGGCATACACTTTCAAAAATCTCTGGGAGGGAAATCAAAACTCACCAAATAAGAATACTTGGAGAAGAACTGAAAATGCAAAATGGTGCATCAATAGGATTTGATATGATGCATTAAATTCAACACATAACTAGTTAAACTAAAACAGGGATGAAAAATTCAGTGGGCCCTCAATATCTACTGAGATTTGGTTCCAGGACCACACACCAAAACCCATAGAAACTGATGTATCATTGTATTCAATGGTATAGTAAAATGGCATCCCTTATATAAAATAGCAATCAGCAAGGGAATTTTTAAAAGGTATTTTTGGGCTGTGGTTGGTTGAATGTGTGGATGCAGAATCCATGATTATGGAGGGCCAAGCATATTTGAAAAATAGCTGAAAGACTCCTGAACTGACTAATATTTTTAGTTTGTAACTTATTCTGTGCAAAACGTACATATGATTTTTTTTTGAGGGCATAGAAAAGGACATTGCTGTTTTCTGTATTAAAAATGTTTTCTGTGCAAACAAAAAGTGTGAATATGTCCTTTTTTTCACAGCAGAAATAAAATTATCAATATTACACACTGTTCCATCTGAGAATGAAATTTGTGAAGGATTGTATCTCTGCATCTATTGATGAGGCCTATTGAGGATTGAAGAGGTACTTCTTAGACCTTTCTCAAGGACTTTCCATTACTGCTTTAGAATGTTTCTCCCATGAAAGAAAATCTTTGTCACTCTGACGTTATCTAGCTGATTCACTCATGGTGCCATGCAACCTCCCACACCTTTTATAGTATCTGGAAGAGCTGTCTAGCTGTTGAAACTGACAGCTTTCTATTGATTTCTCTTGGCTCATAACAAGCACCAGGACAGATTCTTTGCAGTGGAAGAATTTATAATATCTGTTCCTTGAGGGCAGAAAGGTACCTTAAACCATCATGGGACATTTTGGATTTTTGGAATATGACTTCCACAAATCCTGAACAATGGCTTTGGGTTGAGGAAGGCTGGCACAGAGTGATTCTGACTTTCAGTTTCATTTGGAAGTAAAAAAGGAGAAAAGAAAAATATTTAAGTAAGGCAGCTAGGGTGGTTCATTGCAGTAAAAACAAGTGCCACACAGGACTCTTTTTTATCTTAACTAAAATAATATTTTATTTGTGCAAGACTTAACATGTAAGGAGACAAAATTAAAAACTGGATACTAAAAAATTGCTAATACAATATTAATTGAACATTTCAATAGACCAGTTAAATGCACACTTTATTGACTAAGAGATTAAAGAAATATGGCCAAGAATCTGGTAGATTTATCTCTGGTAGAATTTTCTTCAAAAAGAAAAAAAAACAGGCTAGGGACCTATCTTATCATATTGGCCGCTGGAGTCACCATGCATCATAATAAATCCAATGGAGCCCGGTGAGGGGCTATAATCCCTTTGCAAGACAGGAAGCCCCCCGTGTTGCCACCACAATGGCATATCTCATTTCCCTTCCATTTGCATGATGGAGTCCCATCAAAAGTAGCTCTACATTAATTGTTTATTGTTTATTAATTGTGCAATTGTATTAAGTTGATAACTGCTTTTATACTGTAACATTGAATTCTGCTGTCTCTTGTTGTTGTGAACCACTGTGAGTCGCCTTCGGGCTGAGAACAGCGGTATATAAGTAAGGTAAATAAATAAATAAATACATTGTGGGATGGGAGCCAGCAGGCTCTGTCACACAAATGGAGGGGAACGGGTGTATGCTGTCGAAATTACCCTGTATTATGAGCTTGAAAGTCCAATAAAAATTATCATAAGCACCTGCATTCTAAAACATATTTACTGGGAAATATGCTTCATACAGGCAGTCCCCGAGTTACAAACACCCAACGTACAAATGACTTATAATTAAGAATGGGGGAGAGACAACAGGAAGTCAGAGAAATCTACCCCTCGGAAGGGAAATTCACTCCTCCAGGAGCTATCATGGGGGAAAGGTGTCTCAACTGAAGCTTTATCACCAATCCTTGTCTCCACAACCTGAAAAAAATGTACCTTACAAACAAATTCAGACTGCCAGTATTTTAGTGGCAAACCATCTAACAGAGACATTGGACTCCCATATCAACAAGGTGGTGAAGCTGTTCTGGGTTTTAGTCTGAACTTTAAATATACAGTAGAGTCTCGCTTATCCAACATAAATGGACCGACAGAACATTGGGTAAGCAAAAATGTTGGATAATACAGAGGGATTAAAGAAAAGCCCTTTAAACATCAAATTATTTTATGATTTTACAAATTAAGCACCGAAACATTCATGTTTTACAACAAATCGACAGAAAAAGCAGTTCAATAGAGTAACGTTATGTTGTAATTACTGTATTTACAAATTTAGCCCCAAAACATCACAATGTATTGAAGCAGCTGTGGATCTGGGTGGAAGACAGACTGCATTGGATAATACAGAACATTGGATGAGCGAAGGTTGGACAAGCGAGACTCTACTGTATTATCCAAGGTGCAAAAAATAGTTTTGCAAGGTTTTTGGTTTCTCTACAAAGCCTACTGGTGTATTACCAAAGTACAGGATTCATCAGCATTGAACCACAAGAGTTAAAGTGGTGTCAAACTGCATTAACAACACACAGCAGATGTATCCAAAGATTCATTTGCTTCTTACAAGATGGAACTACAGAAGCAAGTCCAGCTATTTCTCCACAATGGAATAACCCAAGGCGACACTATCATTTTTCTTCACTATAGAGATGGCAATATCTGTTGTCTGAACACCAGGGCACCAAGAGGTGGGGGCGGGGGACTCCCTCTATGATCCCATCCTAAAATGCACATGTACTGAATTTTTAATGAATGGATTATAACCTTGTTCTAAAAAGCAAACAAATGACCTTTCCAGCATTATGTTACAATAGCTCAGATTGCTGTCTCATTGCTCAGTGACTCACTGTAGAAGCTTCCCACTCTGGAGATTGTTTGATCATTTCACCCCATCTTATCCTTCTTCTTCTTCTTCTTTTTAAATAAAAAAGCTTTTAATATTAATCAGAACCTCCATGGTTTCTAGAAACCTAGCCGATAATTATGTCCTCTCACTACAGGGGCATTGAGATCTAAGACCCATTAAGAGTATCTAGGATGGTGTTGCTGAAGCATAATCCTAATATCAAAAAGCTGTGATTCACAGAGCATCTTTCAAATCATTGAGTTCGAGGCAGAATAAAACAGGGTAAATGGGAGCAGAGCAATGTCTTCTTCGGTGGATTTCCTGAGGCATTCATTCTGCACCGTGTATACTCTGAGCAGCAGGTGGCCATTGATAATCATGTATGGTTCTTACTTTTCCACAATACAGTGAATAAGTGATTAGCTACTCAGAAGTGAATGATAAGCTAGAATGCTTTATCCTTAGCCAGAATACATGATATTTCCTGTCCATGCAATCATTCTGTATGACATATTCCTAGTATATATACCAATAGCAAACTCATTCTCTGAGTGTTGGTCCTTATGGAGCTAAAATGTTGCCATAATAGATAAGAAGGAGATATCAAGTTGGTTGTGACGGTTTCACCAGGTGAATTCAATGCTTCTTGACAAACAAGAGTAATCTAAAAAGGCAACTACTTGTGCTCATCTGAAGCCCCTCCTCAAAAACACCACCACATTTTGCAGTTTTTGAAAATTTTCATTAAAAATATCTTCGGCTCAGCTCCAGTACATTAAGCATATTTATAGCTTGCCTTCCCCCCAAGAAGTCCAGGTTGCATACATGGAACAGAGTGCTCCCTTTTTATCTTCAGACCCTAAATAGCCTAAAGCAATGATTCTTAACCAGGGGCCCATGTATCCCTTGAGGATCTGTGTAAAGATTTCAGGGGGTCCATGAGCTTGAATTGAAAATAAATCAGCTTATGATCTTTATTTTCTCTTACCTATAATTAGCATTTCCACCATTTATGATTGTACAAAATAAGTTAGAGAAGTACAGTAGAGTCTCACTTATCCAACATAAACGGGCCAGCAGAACATTGGATAAGTGAAAATGTTGGATAATAAGGAGGGATTATTAAACATCAGATTATATTATAATATTACAAATTAAGCACCAAAACATCATGTTTTACACGAAATCGACAGAAATAGCAGTTCAATACACAGTAACATTATGTAGTAATTATTGTATATACGAATTTAGCACCCAAACAAACAAGGGTTCTTTCTTTCCCCCGCCCTGGACATAATTCCAGCGGTAAATATACAATCCACTTCCCTCACATGTGGATCCAGGTGGGAGGCACACTGCGCTGGATAATACAGAACCTTGGATAAGCGAAGGTTGGATAAGCAAGACTCTACTTTATTCATTTAGTATTTATTTCATATCAGATCACAGTTGTTGCATATCTTGAAAAATCACTTGCACTCATCCATACTTTGAAATTATGGTAGCTGTTAGACCTGAAACTAGATCACATGATCACAGTTTTAATTTAAAGACATGCTGATGTTGAATATCATAAAACTATCTGCTGCTTCATTCTGAGAAGGGGTCCATACTTTTTGCCTGCCTGCCAAAGGCATCTGCTGAACAAAAAAATGAATCCAAAAGCACCATATTCTGTCTGATCTTGGAAGCTAAGCAGGATCAGACAGATTAGTATTTCAATGAGAAACCATATATCAGGTGCTATAAGCTATATTTCAAAGAAAAGA